ATTGAGAATTTGACCTTTGCTTGCTGGTCCTCAGGAAAATCCTTCTCATTCCCTCCTTAGTTTCTATGACTAAGTATGATTTTCACATTTCCTGACTGTCCTTCACTTTTGGAAAAAAAGCAAAACAGACATGTTCCACTGACGGTATCCTCGACTCTTTCCCAAATACCTCATTTTAGTGCATTCTCTTTTGCCCTCATGTTATGTTCATGTTTCTCCTCCTTTGTCTTAGCAGGAAAATAACCTATCACCCTTTCTCTCTGATTTTTTACCTATTAAAAATGTCATCATAGTTGATCACATTGATCATATTCAGATCAATGATGAATGTACAAAATGGTAGGAAAAGATCAAAATTTATGGATTCAGAAATTTGCATGTGGAGTCCTGCTATTCTCAGCATTGTTGCCAGGGCCTCTCACAGAACTGTCCCACCAGCAGCTATGGAGAGTCACTCTGACTTTTTACCCCACTCAGTGCCTGCTGAGAATCAGATTTTCTGATTATGCTCCTGCCTTGCATTCTACGTGACCTAGGACTCTTCCTAAACTTTCTCTGCCTCAATATCTTCAAATGGAAGGTAAGGATAAAACATACTTCTCAAAGGAAGACTTAGCTCAATGCATGACTCACTGAAATTGAGCAACAAATATTGCTCCCATTTTCTGTTTTTTTTGGACCAGGGATTGAATTGGTGACCTTGTGCTTCCAGGCAGGCACCAGAACCACTGAGCTAAATCCTGGCTCTATTGCTCCCATTCTTTGTTAATTTTCTAAGTTTACATTGTAAAACATGTACGGTATGTTAGAAAAATTTCTATCTGCCCTATTAAGAAATGCAACATATTCCCCTGTTTTGTGAAATCATGCTGAACATGTGTTTAAAACCAACTTCCTCTGAAATGCAAGCCCCCCAAATCTTGTAGCCTCAATCCTCACATCCTGGGATGCAGGAAAACTAGTTCTGTCTACTGGAAAGCAAGAGGCCACTTGGAAAAGAAAGAGGTGCCCAGGTGTCATGAATTCACAAGCATGTGAAAAAGACAAGGTCTGGGGATATAACATGAGTCATTGAATATTTGTTTTTAGTACTGTTCAGAATTAACAGTGCATGAAGATTTATTTTTAATAGTGATCATCAATTTGAATTTCTATAGGCCTCACTCTTCTATCTGTACACATGAGGTGGAGAGCCCCCACTTCCTCTCTCCTTGGCAGGGCATGAGGAGGCCATAGACCCTCCACAGGTCACTAGCACCAAATGTACACAGGTACATGAGACCTTCCCACCCAGCTGACCCAGCTGCCTACAGCTGCATGTGACAGCCCAGGCAAAGTAGCAGAGAACCACACATCTAATTCATGTGACCATAAAATCTTCTTATTTAAATCTTTTAATTTTGGGAGCATTTTGTTGTCCTATCATAGATTTCAAAAACATGTTTAAATAAATTGATTTGCAGGATCAGTTAAGATCCCAACTTGTTATCATCCTCTTGCCCCATTTTCTCAAGGTAGATCTGATTTATATGTGATGTAATAATTCTTCCACCGGTCCCAGCTTCAACTGTTCAGAAAACAGACTCTGAGTATATAGACAGTTACTGTACTGACCTCCTAAACCACAGATATAGTGGTTCCAGCAGAAACAGGACAGTTTGCACTGGGACAGTTTCTGCAGACCAGAGAGGTTATTTTTGTGTGGGGACCTGTCACCAGAAGATACTGGTTGAAGTGCTGCAGGCAGTAAAATATTAAATGTCTTTACTTTCCACTTTGTGGGTGATGAGGGAGAAGACAAAGATAGAGCTGCTTTCTCAGAATCTGACAGCGGTTCCTGTGGGCTGGGGAAACAACCAGGTTGAACCCTCCTGGTCTTTTCTTTGTTACCAGGACATGGAAGCATTTCCCTGTATACTCCTTCCAAATGTTATGGGAACAAAGTTACCTAACAATATTTTCAGTGTCTCTGGAGGCTAAATGTAGATGTTCTGCCCCTAATCTGCAAAGAATCCTCAATGTATCATTTCCCTCAAAGACTTATAAGAATATTTCCCTGGAAAAACCATGTTGTACTTGAATGAGACAGACTGGGCCTTGTTACCTTCACCAAAATGAAAGATGACATACAGAAATGTTCACCGATGATATCCTCAGGCACAAAGCAAATTATGAAGTCTGACACAAAACAGTTACACACTGAGCTGCTCATGGGTGAATCCATTCTTCATAGCCTGAAAACACCTCTAGTGAGCCTCCATAGAGATGCTGACATGTTTTCTGTGTAAGAACACTGTGTTTTGTGGTCCTCTAGAGGAAAAGAACAGATTCAAATGCATTTGATCCTGTGTTTTTGTTATACTTGGATTATGTCTATAAGACCTAAGTCAAAACAACTCCGGGTATCACAGGGTAATTTGCAAAGCACATGTGAACACATAATCTCCATTTATAGTGTTAAAATTCACTAGAAATATTCTATACTCTGGAGGTTTAAGGAGGGAGAATCTACTTCCTAATTTTCCACATCCATAATGCTATTATATTCTCTGCTCCCTGGCCCCTTTCTCTGATTATTCCTCTTTATTTCCATTGTCACATCTCCTCTCCTGCTCCCTCTGTGTGTAAGAACCCTTGTGATTATAGTGTTCTTAAGCAGATGAATTAGCATATGATTCTGATCTCAAAATTCTTAACTTAATCACACCACTGAGCTAAATCCCCAGGCCTCTCCTACAGATCTTAACAATGATAACAACTATATTCTACTTAAGTAGAACAAAACATTACAAGACATATTTATGAAGCAAGAGACTTGGAAGAAAACTGAGACTCAGTGATCTTGATCTGTGTGTTGTAAAGACCAGAGAATTCTTATTTTGCTGCCTATAATGTGGACTTCACAAGGTATTGCTGTTTGTTACAGGCTTCTCTGATTTGATGGAACTGCTTTCATTCACTTTAAGAGAGATTCCTGATGGAAATTGTTTCAGATTTTTGAGTGATACTATGCATCAGAAAATGAGAAGTGACAAGAATTCAACCCAACAATACCCTCTATGAATAAGTATCATTATACATTTCACCTACAAGCAACAATGATTCCTTTCAGGCAACATATGTAGGAACTTCTGAAAAACAAGGAGAGAGAAGCAGGAAAGTGAGACAAGGTGGAGAAGAGAGAAGGTAGGTTGTAAAAGACATTTCATCAGGCTGGATAGTGCTGAGATCACAGGAGCTGAAGCCCATGTGGAAGTGAGGAGACAATGCACCCAGTCTCTTAAACCTGGGAAGCGAGGGAGCTAGGGTGCTCCTGCTCCTGTTGTCAATCTTTGGGACTTTCCCAGAGAGTGTTTATTCTAGGCTCTGTGCTTTGCTTTGTGTTCAGGTAGAGGTGATTCTCCAGCTTCAGAAATCACAGTGAGGCACAGACGTGGCTGGTGGAAATAAGTAGAAGCACAAACAAGGAAAACATTGAGTGTACCAAGAATGACTTCTCCATGCACCCAGGAGACAGAGGTGTATGTTCCACCCACACCTGCATCTCTCTGAATTTGGACCCTGGCCTCCCTTGAGGTTTGGGTCCTGATAAAGGAAGTTTGTGCACAGACTGAACCACTAGGGTGTAGTCATTCACTGTCATGCATCAGTAGGAACACTGGAGTCAGGAGGGACAGCTGGCTCCATTCCCAGTGCTTCTGAACCTGCCTGTGATGCTCATGGGACAACAGTGACATGACATGCAAAGCATTCAAAGCTTTGGCCAAGTTTTGTCTGCATCCAAGACATTACCCTATATATATCAGAACCAGCTTGACCAGCCATGCAGACCACCTGTGTCTGGTGATGTTGACAGGGAGGCTGGTGTTTGGTCAGGATGATGTCCCCAAATGGTACTAAGGAGTAAGTGAGGAGTAAAACACAGATGATGGGTGGGAGCCTGCGCCATGCACCTGGAGAGAGGATTTGCTGAGAGGCCTCTCCCCAGTTCAGCCCTCTCACCTGTTCTCCAGAAAACTGACTCCAGAGGGGCAGCACGTGAGCCCCCAGGAACATGCTGGCAGGGAGTACAGCTTGGAGAAATTCCCCAGGCAACATGATCTTGGTCTTCCTTTCTTATGGAGATAATTTATTCTAGGGAGCCTGCAATATCCAGGGGTCACATTATTCTAATTCTGGCTCATATAGTTGAAGGAAAAAGAAACAATTTGCTGAAGTTATCAGTTCTGACACTACTAGCCAGCCTTTCATGGTAGAGAATTCTGAGAAATATTACTAAATGTCAGAAAAGAGGGGCCAAAACCAAGAATAAAGTGCAGCCAACTTACAACCTAGGGTGAGAGACCTGTATATTCTAAACTGGTAGACCTGTGAGTGACACACTCAGTGGGGAAACGTGGTATTACCCTTGTGCATCTGCAGTAAATTGTGTGACACTTCACAGGGAATAGCAATGGCTTGGGTCTATAAAAAATGGTTTTAGCATATATTTACCCTTTGCAATATACATCGTTTTGTGTAGGAAAAATGCAAACAATTTACCCTCAAGATAATTTAGGCAGTGCAGCCCAAGCATTTTCTTTTCATTCACTGAAGCAACTTGAAAGTCAGTTGAGGGTCTATGAGCTCATCTTCTAAGAATATTCTTTGTATACTCTCTAAAAAGGATATTCTCCTTCATTATCCCAATATAGCTATGAAATGAATTACTCCACATAGTTCTCCAGTCTATTTCAAATTTTAACAATTGTTCCTTAAATGCCTTTTGCAGAAAATCAGAGAGAAGCATATTCTCAGAGAAATCTGTGCTGCCCCATGCTAAACTAAGATACCTGGGGACTCCAAGCCTGTGCTGAGCGACTGAGATGAGCCAACCCTGCAGATGTGCCTGGCCCTGCCCAGCCCCTACTGATTTGCATGTGGCCAGGACACTCTGCCTTCAAAACTTCTTAAAAGGCTGCTCATGTCCTGTGCAGGAGTCAGTCCACTCAGGACACAGCATGGGTTTGAGCGTCCCTGCTCAGCTTCTGGGGCTCCTGCTGCTCTGGCTTCCAGGTAAGGAAGGGAATTTATACAGCGCAGTGCAGTCGGCACTGCCTGGCTTTTGCTGGAAGTCTTCTTATAACATCACTAATTATCTGGGATTGTTTTTTATGTCCTATGTCAGGTGCCAGGTGTGACATCCAGATGACCCAGTCTCCATCCTCCCTGTCTGCATCTCTAGGAGAAACAGTCACCATCACTCGCTGGGTCAGTCAGGACATTACCATTTGGTTAGACAGGTATCAGCAGAAAAAAGGGGACAGGCCCAAACCCCTGATCTATAAAGCATCCAATTTACAATCAGGAGTCCCACAGAGGTTCAGCTGTAGTGGATCTGGGACAGATTTCACTCTCATCATCAATGGCCTGCAGTATGAAGATGTTGCAACTTATTACTGTACGCAGCATAATAGTTTCCCTCTCACAGTGATACAACCCATAACATACACCTCCCAGAGAAGCGGAAGTATGAGACTGGGCTGCCCCAGCTTCTCCTCCTGGTGCCTGTGGGTACTGAAAACATTTCTCAAATGTAGGCAACCAGTTCAAGAGGAGTCTTGTTTGGTGCAACTTTTGGGAATCCTATAACAAAACAGAAGTCACAGTAAATATTCTAAATAGAATTTGTTTTAAACACAGGGAAGTGTTGGGAGCAATGCTACATAATTCTAGGGAAAAATCATTTGAGTAGGCCTAGTTCTCCTGCCTACAGGCCAGCTATAACACTCCAAAACATAATTCCATTTTGGCCTCGGTCACAAGGGAGATCTCAATGATCCCATGATGCTGTAATGCTCCAGGACAAGACCACACCTGCGGGAGACCCCCTGGGAGGAACCAAATCTTCATCTGTGTAGTTCCTGGGAGGAACTAAATCTTCATCTGCATAGGTCCTCATTGTTCTTAGATTTCCACCGCCCCCACCCAGTCTTTTGTTACATCTTGTTCATCCCAATGTGATACTGAAATCTACATTATTCATTTGTTACATTTGTTTCTTCGGATGTACTAAATAAAAGGTGCTGCAAGCTAGGGCTTCTTGTCTTTGCCACCCAGAGCAGCACTGATCAGACCCAAAGCTCAGCTTCTTCTCAGTCTCATTTGTCTACCTTTCCTGTAATTCGCCATGTGCTGCCGTGGCTCGCAGGAGACTAGGACTTACTGCAGAGGTTCTGGTAACATCCCCTTCCCCTGTTCCCTACAGGGAAGAAAGTCTAAACTACAGGTTTTTATTTTTAATATTTATTTTTTAAACATATACTAATTCTAGAAATTAATGGGATGCCCTGTGATATTTCCATACATGGATGGGGTATGCTTTGATCATATGAATCCATCCCCCATCTACCTTCACTCTTCCAGCCCCAGTCACCTGCTCCACCTTTCTGAATAACTGGTAATCACTGGTCTAATTTGGAAGAAACTTTTTTTTTATTGAATGTCCACATATGAGCAAGAAAATGCAGTATTTGTCTTTCTGTACCTGGTTTGTTTCACTTAACATGTCCTCCAGATCCAACCACTTTGCTGCCAATGATAGAATTTCAGTCTTCTGTATGGCTGAATAATAAATATAGTTTATATTTTCTTTATCCATTCATCTCTTGATGAGCATTCCAGGCTAATTCCATCGGTTACTGTTGAGAATAGTACCATAATAAATATGGACATTAAGGCATCTTTTTTACATGCTGGGTTCATTTCATTTGAATATACCCAGAAGTGGCATGGCTGGATCATGTGGTAGTTCTATTTTTAGTTTTTTGTGGAAATACCATGTGTTTCCATATATGTTTGACAGTAGCTTTACTAGTAGACACTACCACCCATGGTGTACTACAATTCATTTTCTCCTCATCTACATCAGCATTTGGTTTTTTTTATAATAGACTTTCCAACATTCTAAGTGACTACCCTGATCTAAAATCTAATGCAGATTGACCAAAGGCCCAACACTCTGAAACTATGGTAGAAGAAAACAGGACAAATAGTTCAGGATACTGGATCCCGATGATTATTTTTCAAGGTAGAACTCCAATAAGTCAAGAAACAAAAATTTGAAAAATGAGATTATACCCAGCAGAAATGTTCCTACACAGCAAAAGAAACAACAGAGCAAAGAGAACCTACAGAATTGAGAAAAGGCTTTCTGACTTGGGTTAATCTTCCGAATATACAAACAATTCAACAAACTTAAAAAAATCAACTAATCTGATTAAAAATGGATCAGTAATATGAACATATACTTCTCAAAGGAAGAAATACAAATGACCAGTAAATTTGGGACAAAATGTTTGAAATCATTAATCATCAGAGAATTTCATATATGTGTGGGAAAAGCACAGCTTGGACAGTGTTGGTCTCTCATATCCCCTGCACCTAGTGTACTGGGGAGCCTTAACCACCATTGAACTGTTGGATTTTATATTTTTCACACTAGCAATTTATCAGGATGCCAAAGAAATGTAGGTTACCCTTTCCAGACCTGTTTTATTGGAAGACTTGTAGGAACCAAGAGGAAAGGGTTTATTAAGGAAACAGATTCAGGAACAACACATCAGGTGTGCATACATTCTGTCAAATAATCATCATTCCACACTCACTTTTTTCTCAAAAGCTTTATAAAGTTAAGAATGATTTTGGTGATCTAGGCCTCAGGTTACATTTTGGGAACTAAGAGGAGAAGCAGGTGCTGCACTGAAGGAATATTTTCTTCTATATTTTTTTATTCATTGTTTTCCCCATCGTTTGGGTAAAAGTAAGTGCTGTTATTTGTAAAAGAAAGGCTTTTCATATGTTAGATGACACCATGTTGCTGTTGATGTTTTAAGAAGTGGAAGTTCAAGCGTGGAAAGTCTGTATTGGTGATGAAGAGCCATTATGGTAAATAGGAGTAGAACTAGCTCCTGCAGCTATGAGACAGATGAATCCTCAGGAGACTGTAAGGATGTCAACAACACATGAAGACTGCAGGTCAAGTGCTCAGCTCTGGTAGCTGGTAGCAGGATTTTCTGCCATAGTGAGAGGAGTGGTTGTCTTGTCTGGAGAAACCAGTGTAAATGCAGTAACTGAGGCAGCAGGCTTCCTTCCAAAGGATGGAACATCAGTGACATCCTTCCATAATTTCTACATGCTTTGCTGGATTCTGTACCTACAGCTTCCCAGTAGTTAGTGAATAATTCAATACCCCATAATATATACTTTTCTGATTTGTATATTTTATATGTATAACCACAGACAATAACCATCCACAGAGAGTGTGTCATCAAAGCTTCTTTTTTGTTACTAATTTTTCCCAGTAGCTATGCAGAGGAGGTCAACATGAGTAACCTCCCATAACATCCAAAGTGTAGGCCAAACAAACATGGGGGAGCAACTGCATTCGTTACAGTTTATCTGTCTCATGGTACCAAAAAACAGAGACTGAGAAAATTTCCTCTAATCCTTTAGCTTTTCTTTTTTCACTCTTGGTACACTCTCCACATGTATGCCATGGTATATACTCCACCAAACCCAGAGGGAGACCTTCTGTACACATTCTGGGTTCTCTCTCTGTATAGCTCTCTCCTCTCTGTTTCTGTCTTCACTCTTCTAGGAAGCAACTCTTCTCCTTCAATTCAATGTCCCAAAGGGTTCCTCCTGGGTTTCATCTTCCACAGGATGCCCTCAAAACTCTGCTTAAGTTGTAGCTGGAGTCAATTTGAATTTCACCTCTGGTTTCCAACTCTGGGATCCTTGTCCTTTATTTCCCATGTGCAATGTGTTGAAAATAATTGTTTCATAAATGTTGTGCTGTGTGTTAGCCAACCCAGACAGAAGTGTAAATAAGATCCATGTAAATGTACACAAGTCACATGTTGAGTTTCTCCAAGCCCACACGTAAATTTAGATTTTAGCATTCCTTGTGTTTGCACAGCAGATCCTGATTCTAGAGTCACAATCTGAACCTCACTGGCATTCTTTCTTCTCTTTTTCTGTTCACATAACAAAGGATCCCTTAGTCACATATTCAAACATATCATCTCTCACATCCAAACTCCATTTTTCTCCCAGCAACATCCCTTGGTTGTAGGTTGGGTTGAGCAATGAGCACGTACTATGCAGCCACTTTCAGGAGCATGAACCTAGGTAGGAGAGGGAAATGTAATGGAAGTTGTTTTAAAGATTTTGAACTTGAAATCCTCGGTGACAAGAATATGATGTTGAGGAAGAAATTAGCTCTGCATCACGACCAACTCCCTCCATGAATAAATGGAGGGAAGCCACGTGAGGTGCCTGACATCTGGGGTGCAGAATACAAGGTCCTAATGTTGGGTGTCAGTGTGGTTCTGGTTGCTGTATTATTGTTGTGCCACTCTGAAGCACCAATCTAAGTGCAATAGGGGATGGCTCAGGACAAGACATTCAGTTTTCAGTGTCCCCTTATGAAGCAAGAAGTTACTGACCCCTACCAGACCTCACTACACTCCAGTCAACCCCAGATTTGTCTCCATCCTTATAACTCTTTCCTCTCTGTCTTTGATACTCAGAGTACTTTCTCCAGGCATATGGTCTTGGGCTTTATCCTACTTTGCAAGAACTGATTTTCAGGATTTGTGATCTGTTCCAGGGCTTTAGGTTTATCCTAAATCAGACTTCAATCTCAGGACCATTCTCTTTGGTTGTATAGAGAAAGAGTAACTTTTTTTTCAAGCTCCTGAGCTGTGGTGAATAAGGCAAAAGTGCAGCAATGGGGTGGAATATAGAGGTTCTACAAACCAAGAATTGGAGGCAGTCCGTTAGGCAACAGGTAGTAAGGAGGTTATGGCTTTGGATGATGATGTGTCAGTGAGCTATATGCATTTAGGAAGTAATGTTATCACTGTGTAGTGAAATATTGGCTGATCTAATGGTAGGAAATATGGCTCAGTGCCATTACACAATACCATGCTTCACATTACCATGCTTTCAAGAATAGCCATTTTTATTTCAAATATACTTAAAACAATTTTACACTTACAGAATGGTTGTATGTATATTTCATAGCACTAACACTCCTTGAATCCTCTAAGTTAGGGGCCCCAGCCTGACCATCTAAGATTTACTATGTCATTTCTACAAACTGGACATAGCCTCACATGACCAAATACAACAATGAAATCAGAAAATTCATTATTAATATATCATTCCATCTAGTCTTCAGATCTGTCAGAGTTTCACAATTACCCCATTAATATCTTCTGTAATGAGATCCAGCACAGAATTATGTTTGCCTTTGAACTGGCCAGGTCTCTTCAGTTGGGATCTGTTGTATAACCTTCCTTGAATTACATGATCTGGTCCCTTTTAAGGAATTTATATCATTTAATTTGAAGGATGTCTCTTATTTTCTAGATCAATAGTTCTAATGATTAAAATCTGCTAATGCACATTTGCCATGAATTTCCAGAAGTGCTGCCATGCTCCCAGTGAACACTCCTAGGTGTAAGATTTCAATCTGTCCCATGTCTAATGATGTTCAATTTCATTGTTGGTAGAAGGAGGAGTTTCCAGACAACTCCACAACACCCTTCCTCTTTTTCTCTTTGCAATGAACAAGAGGTCTTTTGACTCAACCTGGCCCTCAGCATGCAGGTAGGCTCAGCTCCCTGGCCATAAGGCTGTGACCTCTCTACCACAGTGCCTCACACTGCCCCTGAGGTCACCCTTTGGCCTGTGTAACCAGGGACACTCTACAAGGAGCAGAGAGGGGACCTGGTCCATGCACCCTTGTTCCCGAGGCCACTGATTGGGAGGCACGTGATGAAATGCTTCACTTTGTACCTGTCCTGGTGGTCTCTCTGGGAACAGCCTTTGGGTGTCACCAAAATCATCAAAGGGTCTTTGCAGGCTTGTGGACTGGGGTCACTCTGCCCTAAAGCACAGTGTCTTGGTATTGGCGTTTGCATTTGGGTCATTTTCGGAAAGGAAAGGGCTGTCCAACTCTGGTACTTCCTGCCATGGCTTGTGCCCTAAAGAAAACTCATGTCTTCCTTCAGGCTGGGGCCCTATTTGGCTCTCTGCTTGCTAAATAGTTCATAAACTAAAAGAAAATAAAGTTACTGAGAATATAGCAAAAGCAGCTCCCTTTGAAATAAAATAGGGAAAAACATCCTGAAGTATTAGTGCCCAATACATTTTCTGGACATGATTACAATAGATCAATCATCCGGATAACAGCTCCTGTTGAAAAATTGGAC